CCAGGTTGGTCAAACATGATTTACCTTTAATAAATTCATGCTGACTACTCCTGATCCCCTTCTTGTCTTCCATGTGGATAGTCCCCAGAATGAGGCGCTCCATCAGCTTTCCAGGGATTGAGGTGAGGCTGAATCGCTGGTAGTTTCCTGGGTCCTACTTCTTGCCCTTTTTCAAGATCAGAGTGACATTTGCTTTCTTCCAGTCCTCAGGCACCTTTCCTGATCTCTATGACCTTTCAAAGATGATCATGAGCTGCCTTGCTCTGGTATCCTCCAGCTCTCTCAGCACCTGTAGATGCATCCTGTCAGGGCCCATGAACTTGTGGATGTCACCTCTGCCTAGGTGTTCCTCCTTGACCAAGGGGAAGTCTTTCTTACAATATTCCTTTACCCTGCCTGGTCTTGTGGGTCTGTTGTAGTTTAGTTAAATGGGAAGGTTTTCAGTGATGAGTATCTCATACCACCACGTAATTTCAGAGTGTGGGGACTGCTCCCGTCCAAGCTGGACTGGGAGAAGACTGTCCCAGGGGGTCTTAGAAGTGGAGTATCCCAGGAACTCGGGAGATAAAAGTCAGGTGCAGGCCAGAACTGCACTTTTGGTACCGAGTTTTGCCCACTGGAGGACCATGGACTCTTGGAGTCTTTCCCAGAGCACTCAGCCATTCATCCACTATCCGACCAAGCTCAAACTCAGGGGAACCACCATAGCGCTGCTTTTCGGAGCACTTTTGAAGCTGTTTCGCAATAGTTTGGGAACCACTACCATTCCAGTGAGGGAATTCCCTTCTCCAGAGTCACCACCATCTCAGCCACAGCTGTTTCGCTCTCTCATCTGCGCAAAGTGCCACCGGCCCCAGCACCGCACTGGGTCACCCCTGCCACTACACACCCACGTGGTTGCTATGCCAGAACCCACACCAGCACCTCAGCAGCATAAGACTTTTTTGGATGAAATATCCTTCCAGGTTTTGTTTTAACCTGGGGGAAAGGGTAGCTAGGTAATATTTTCTGCTATTTTTGTTTGTTTGTTTATTTCATTCCCTATTTAGTGAATTTGTTATTTTCCCATCTTCATTCGCACTTCCCATAATTTTTTACCTTATTTATATTGAAGGGAGGGAAATAATAAAAAAGGAGGGGAGGGTTCATCTCACCTTCCAAATATATTGTTACTAAACCAAAACAGAATTAAAGGTTTCTGAGGGCTGGTGCTGTCAGTGAAGACCAATGCAAAGAAGGCATTCAATAACTCTGCCTTCTCTGCATCCTGTTTTCACTATAACTTTTGTTTTTCTGAGCAATATGACCTCTAAAGCAGAGACATTCACAAGTGAAGTATCATTCATTTAACCTGTGGGAACCTGTCCTGACAGAAACGCTAATTTGCTTTTCAGGGGTTGCAAGGAATATGCATCTTCTGCTTTTAGATTCATAATGAAGTGCTTTCTCTAGGGTGTTGGATTTTTTTTTCCAGGGAGATGCTATTCTCAATTTTTAACGAATATTGCTTGCCTTGTATATTTGTGACAGGAGAGTGTTTCTTCCCTATAGATGGCATGTGACCTTTCCTTTGGATACAATAGCACCATTTTCTTCAGGGGATACATGTGCACTTTAGGGGATAAATGATGCCTGGGCTGCTGCAAGCAGGAAGTGTTTTACTGAATTGCAAGAGCAGTCTTGATATGACTGCAATAAACTTGCGAAAGGGTAGAGAAGTAAAGGAAAAGTTCCTAGTTAATCCTCTAATTCCGGTGTTGGTCTGTCAGTAGCTAGTTTAAGCCATTTACAGGACCCATGAGGGACTTCAGATCAGTTGATCTGATAAGCAGTTCTAGTTTTTTAGCCTCTTGAAGAACTCAGTTCCAGTAATCATCCCTTTCTTCCCCATTTCCTTCTCTCCCTGAAGGTCATCACATTCCAGTTTCCTAGATGAAAGGATGTTACCAGAATCATTGCACAACTCCTATGCAAGAACAATTGGCAGGGTGGTGTCTGATCTGGTCTTTTTTTTCCCATGGTGTTAAAACTGAAACTGTATACTGCCAAAAAAGCCGACTTCTGGAGAATTGCTCCAGTCCTGGAAATTTTTCTAGGCCTACCAGTTGAGCAGATGTGGACTGAGCTCTGAGCTTCAGAAGATGCTTGGGCTGAGAAGGGATTTTGAGGCCCTGTCTGAATGCTCAAGCACTGTTTGGGTACAAGTGAGATTAGCAACTGCTGTCTCCAGGCACTGCTTGGTTTGTCTTTGTGGTCCCAGAAAACATGGTAGAACTGTAGTAGCAGTTAACAGCCCGCTACACTAGTGTGTACCAGTGGGGCTGAACCAGCAAATGTTAGCAGAGCTGAACACTGGGTATATGCTGGTTGCATAATATTGCAAGCCCTATTCAATTAGCATGTGGCATCACTCTGCGAGTGCAGGATTTTATAGTGGAATAGGAGACTAAATGCGTTGAAGTGCGGAGAAGAGTAGTTGCACGGAATGCATGGATGCAGGGAGAAAGGCAATCAGGACAAGGAACCTGTGCTCAATTCTTGTTTGATTCCTGGTGGTTTGCTTCACCAGAGCTACAGTTCTCTTCAGATGGTTAATGACGTGGTGGGTAGTGAGAAGACGTCACTGAATAAATTTTCAAGTTCTTGGTAATATTATTGTAGCCATGGTGAAAAGTTTTTAGAGAAGTAATAATTTCATTAAACTACCTGATGGTTCTAAAGTGAAGTAAAATCTGGCAGACTTTTGAGACCCACAAAGCTGAAGAAGGCAAGCGTTTTCCAAATCTGTCAGTTGCTGTAATACGTGATTACATCTCTGTACAGAACTGAAAGACTTGGGCATGAAACTTGTTTACATCTCAAAGCACTCTTCAATCTATAAGGACAAATCTAGAATCATAACCTCCTTTTATTGGAAGGAGTTTAGGGAAGACTGTGAAGCGGTTGCCAACTACAAATTAAGATTGCTCTTTAATCTTTAGTCTGGAAGTCTCCCAACAACATAGAAAAGGGTGTGAATGTGTAGAGGGGAAAACCATAAAGGTGATGAAGTTCCTTCTGCTTAAAGCACTGTAAACCATGCTTTATGGGAACTTGGAGAAAATGTATGTATTGCAAAAGCTGCATTCCCTGTCATGGGAGAAGGGCTGGTTATACATCACTTACCTGGAATGACAGAAATTGGTGCACTTCTGTGTTGGAGATGTGTGAATGCAGCTTTCTCAGAAGGTACCGAAGTAGCTTTTTTCTGCATGTAGTTTGCTGTGGACACTTGTCTATTTATTGATTGCCTCAATATTAGAAATGCAAGTAGTGGCTTTTGGACCACTATTTTTAGTATCTTGCAGTAGGCCTGTTTCTTCTAATTTGGTTGGGTTGTTTGGGGTTTTTTTCAACTTCATTTTGTAGTCTGAGGTATTTAAAATAACCAAATAATTGGTCTGAAAACATAAGAGAAAGATGAGTCTCCAGTAGAAGATCTGATCTTATGTGAACCAATTAAAAATTTAGTTTCATAAACTCAAGATGCCTTTGTGTTTTACTAAAATCTTACTGCTTTTTGGGGAAGAGGAATTAAGCTTCTTGCAGAAAATCTGGGGGGAGACAAGATTAAGAAATAATGCTCTTAATGGGGAAGAAGAGATATCTTAAATGGCAGTCAATGCTGTTAAAAATACCATCTCCTACCCACTAATGATAGGCCAAGTTTTGCAAACTTAACAGGTTTCATCCTTTTTTTCTTATGCTATGCCTTTGATGGGATTTTGCCTTTGATTGCCTGGTTGTGGGTGGAATGCCTGATACTCTTGGCAACAAATACTATATAAGTTCTTCAAATTACATTTGTTCTGGCCTGGAGCAGAGCTATGTGGATGTTGGATGTTTCTTTAAGACCTGACGTTCCTTTTAGTTAATCACCTTATGTTATCTACAACTTTAAAGGAAGATGATTAATATCTAGCAGCTGATTTCACTATGTGGATTAGATCCCCACTGCTGTACATTTAATGGTTTGGTATATGAATCACCCATCTGGACAGAGCACTGTTTGGATAATTGGTTATACAGAAATATATTCTGTAGACCAGAGACAAGTAATTATAAGTGTTACTTATTATAGTCTCATCAGTGCCACAGTGCTTAATCTCCTAAGCACATTAGAGTATTAATTGATCAGAAATGCATTATGATCTGCTTAGGTGAGATGATACAAACCTTTCTCTGGGTAAAACAGGAATGTAGTACACTGTGTTAGGTTAGAATTCAATTAAATGATGAACAGGTTGTTCTACGCATATCTGAACAGCTGGAATATTTCAGTTACACTGTCTAATATCCTGTGTACTAATTTTGACAAATGTCAAAAAAATCCATACAGAATTTGTTGAATACATGATAAATTGACTGCTGCCAGTTATGTGAAGTGAGCTGTATTATCAGAAGTAATTGGTTTAATTTAAACCCAGCTCATTTTAAGTGAAAAAGGTTAGGGAGCAGCCACGTGATCAGTTCAGCAAGGAGATCTAAAGAGGAAAGTAGTCATTTACATTAATACAGGCAAGCAGGATAACATGTGGTGAATGGCCCCAGCTGATTCAATAGGTTTCCATTAATTATTCAGAGTGTAAGCAAACTCTTCTTCAAGATGCAGTTACTAGTGAATTTTGAGAAAATTTTGAATCTTGCTTAGAAGCAGGTAACTGCCTTGTTTTGCCAGGTACCTCTTGTTTTAAAACCTGATATGGAAAACTAGGGAATGCTTGGGCTTGATGGTTGTGCCTGTCTTAGTCCATTCAGCTATAGACTTGTCAGAAAATGCGTGATCAATCTTGATTACATGAGGGAGAAGAAACTTCAAATTCCAATTTGCACTCACATTTAATGTTTCCATAAACACAGGTGGCACATTCATATTTTGTACTTTAGCTGGAGCTCTTGTGTCGCAGTTATGCGCGTGACTTTCAACAATTGAGTTCAATGTTACCTTAATTTCTTTTTAGGGAGAGCACGTGTGCAGCAACTAGCAGAGAACACAAGATATTTCAGGAGACGACTGAAAGAGATGGGCTTTATCATCTATGGAAATGAAGATTCCCCTGTTGTGCCTCTGATGCTGTACATGCCAGCAAAAATTGGGTAGGTTTTTACCGAACATCTCTGGTGCTTTACTAGCTCAGTTAGGCTTCAGTCTGGCTAAGCACTGTGGTGCTGTGACAGAACAAGCATCATCTAGCACTCTGCATGAAGGCAGATAAAGACTTTCTCTATCCTTCTCAGTGTAACAAAGTTTGAAAGTCCTGTTACCTTTACAGGCCTTGCCGGTCAGCAGTGTGCACCGTCCAGCACACAGAGGCATCCTGTTTCCACTGCCCAGCTGCTCTACCAGTCAGTACAATCTTCTCCCTGGAAAGTTCATGGAAATGTTGATTAGCTGCGCAGTTGGACCAGTAACTTACTTGAAATGAGCAAGGCCAAAGAGCTCTGGCAAGAGCTGGCCCTTAGGATATGCATCGGGTTTACTTGATCCTTTCTTTGTCCCTTGTAGTCTGTTTTTACAGTAGTTTGAGAGTACTAAATGGCTACAAAATTAAGTGTATCAGGATGCACCTATTTGTAAGGAAAATACTTGTGGCAGAAAATTAAAAAATCTAGGAAAAGAAAGTTATTTTTATACGTTCTTATAAGCCTCTTAAGTTCATTGCTACTTCTCACAAGGTCAATTCAAAATGGATTAACCATTTCCTATGGCCTGTAGAAAAACCCACAATTGCACTGCCATTGCAGAAAGGATCAAGATCTTTGTGCCTCTCATAGCATAACTCACAGCCACTTCTTTCTTTAATCCTTTAAAGAACTTATTTTATTGAAGACAGTGTGTGACAGTTGTATGAGATTTTTGCACCTTTCTTTGAAACATTTGGTATCAGATGATTCCACAGTTTACTGTGGTGATCCAATGGTTCCCATGATAGGCTCTTAAAAAGTGGTACATTCTATGACACAATAATGTACTTTAATCAAGTTCAGTTGGTGATAACAAAACATCTTGAAACTGCAGAAACATCCGCTTTGGGGCATTGCAGCCTGAGGGATTCCTTATATAGTCAAACTTCTGAGCTAAAATCCCTGTTTCCTATCAGAAAGATTTCCAAGCTTAAGTTACAAATCCATTTAGAAACAGCCTGCTATAAGACCAGTCTCTGCCACATATAATCTTTCAGCTTTGTTGGAACTTAATACAGTGAAACCTTTTGAGAAAGACCACCTCTTGGGATTGAATTAAAAAAAGGCTTTTGTGAGCAGGCATTCTGCCTCTAAAAGCAAGCACCGGAAGGTCCAAATTGTGTTGTTACAGGCTTGCTTCGGCAAAGACCTGTATGCATTAACACACTGAGACTTTCATGCTCCAGCTTTGCCGCCAGTGGAATAATTGCAACAACCTTGTTCTCTCTGACAGTGCGTTTGGACGTGAGATGCTGAAGCGGAACATCGGTGTTGTGGTTGTGGGCTTCCCAGCCACTCCCATCATCGAGTCAAGAGCCAGATTCTGCTTGTCTGCAGCTCATACCAAAGAGATGCTTGATACAGTAAGTGTCTCGTCTTCCTTTTGCCCATGCCTGCTATAAACAGATACAACAACTGGTTTTTGTGCACTGGTTCAATGTTTGGTACACAAACTAGTTGAACCTAATCTTCGAAATCTTTTGTAGTAGAACTGGCAATGACTCCATCTGTCTTTCCTTGTTTCAACAGTGCAGAATGGCTGCCTACAGTAAATCTCAGGACTTTTCTTTTCCTATTTTAAATTATGTGAAGGTGACAGTCTCATTCCTGTGAGACAATGCTTCTTCCCCTCTTAAGAGGCTCTACCTTGCACTGAACCTTTCAGAAGGAAAAAGTTCTGCTTTTTCTGACCCTAGATGCTAATGGTAAGAAGAAAAAAAATAAAAAAGCCTGAGAACCTCCAAAACATTTATATTCTCCTCAAAAGGAACACATGATTACTAGTGAAAATTTTTATTCCAAAAATTACTCCAGTTCTTCTTTACAGCTTCTGAGCACTTTATCTTAAATAATCCTGTTCTAATGAGTCTGTGCCACATGCAATGCCTTACTGACTCCTGCCTGAGTAAGCATGTTCCAGAGGGAATGAAGGTCCTCTCTGAGGAGGCCTGAATCACAGTTAGGAAATGCTGCCTTAAAAGTTAAGGATAGCAGTTATTCTCTGACTAATAGAGTTGAAAAAGGATTATACAAATAAGCTTGACTGTTCTTAGTGTGTTTTGGAGTGGTAGCTACATTCACTTTTAAGTCTTCTGAATAATCTTCTTTGATGAACATGGCATGCCTTAGCCACTGTCAAAATTCTGCATGGCATTTGTTCCCCACTTTGAGGGGAAACCTCATAACCTAAATTAGGTTGAGTCATGAACTTGGACTCCATGAGAGTAGACCCTGTCCTGTTTAGAGGCCTACTTGAAAGAACCCCATAGGATACAGCCTCAAAGAGAGGAGGTGTCCAGGACAGCTAATTGATTTTTCCTCCTCCTTTCTCCCCTGAAGAATGATCCATCCTGACTTACAGGAGAGTGAATGTGGCGGGAAGCCTGCATGGATCAACAAACCAACAAAAACATATAATGGATGCATATAAGAAAGAGGTGCAAGCAGGAACAGGTGACCAAGGAGGAATAGAGACACAGTTCTGAGTATGCAGGGATTGGGGTCAGGAAAGCTAAAGCCCACCTGGAACTCAGTCTGTCAAAGGACATGAAATGCAGGAGCAGGGCTTTTATGGGGATATTAGTAGCAAAAGGAAGAGTAGAGAAAATGTGGGAGACTGCTGCTGAATGGCACAGGGAATCAGGTGACAAATGACATGCAAGAGATGAGGGTACTTAGTGCCTTTGTTGTCACAATCTACTTGTGAGGCTTGACTCAGGAATCCTGGGACCATAAGATCAGTGGAAAAGTATGGAGCAATGAAGACTTACCTTTAGTGTGAAGGAGGCTCCAATAAGGGAATATTTAAACAAACTGAACATGCATAAGTCCATGGGAACTGATGGGGTGCCCCCACAAGTGTTGAGGGAGTTGACTGTCACTGCAAGGTGACTCTTGATTATCGTCTTTGGAGGGAGGTCATGGTGACTGGAGGAGGTTCTGGAGGATTGGAAGACAGCAAATGTCACCACTCTCTTCAAGAAGGGCAAAAAGTATGATCTGAGGAACTGCAGGTTAAGTAACCTCACCTTGATCTTGAGAAGATTGTGGAGAAAAAGATCCTTGAAAGTATTTTCGAACATTTGGTGGACCAGAAGGTGATTGGGAATAGTCATCATGGAGTTAGAGAGGGGAAATCATGCCCAAATATGATCAGCTAAGTAACACTTCAATATATGAACAGCAAATGGGACATATAAACAAATATTTACTAATGTCTTATCACAAAAATATGGATTCAACCTTTTCACACTTCACTGCTGCAGAACTTCCAAATCAACAGCTTAAAATGGCATGCCTTTTGTATTTCATTTTTGTTACAAAAATTAGTAAGGCAGTGAGTGGTGTGTGCAGTTTGGTAATATATGTCTAGTGTCACTGAATAGTACTGAGCAACCTGCCATGTATCTCTAGTGCTGTACTTGCTGCTTCTCAGTTGTTTCTGCCTTGTAAGACCGGAGAGATTCTCTAACATGACACTCCAACAACAGACTGCTTAAGGAGTTCCTTCCCAGCTACTTGTCCTGCTGCTCTTCCCTTAATTATCAAAATCAGTTGTTTCCGTTCCAAATAAAAATTTTGAACCAGTATGTTTGGAGAAGGCTCTCTCCTTCTCTTCCTTTCACTCTGTATAAAATGAGTAGTATCAGAGATTTGGCTCAGAGCATGGTAATAGAACTGAGTGTATTGACACAAATGAGGGAGCAGTAACTTCTTGACAAGTGGGTATGGAGTGGGGATGAATGGGTAAGATGTGGGAGGAAGGAAAAGAAAAAAAACTGAAGTCTCTGAAATCATATTTCTGCAAACTGAGCTAAAATTGAAACTCTACAGACTTGATACGCTGGCACTACCGGGACAATCATGCAATCTTGCTGTTGTTTAGGTTCTTGGTCTTCTCTTTCAGTGACTAGCTGGAGCCTTTACTGTAACAAGCTGCTTTTGTAGGGTCTGTATAAGTACCATAATTGCTCTGTTCCAAAACCTATCTGTAACTTTTATTACTCTGCTTAAAAAAACTCCTGTCAATTCACTTACAAATCTGTCTGCATTTTCCAGAAAATATTTTAAGTTTTGTGCTTTTAAAATAAGATTCATTCCTAGAGTACCCCTGTAAGTGTTAAATCCTCTAAATTGAGGAAACGCTTGTTCAATATATTGGACTTTGTCTACCCAAGAAAATTAATCCAGAGCAAAACGAGGTGTGAATTTTGAAGTGAATGAAGAAATCCTGATTTAGCTCAGTATGTGCAGGCTTTGTTCCAAGTTAGTGTAACCCACTTTAAGGTTTGAAATAGCTGCATGCTTTGAACCGAGAACATTGGTGAGAGGAGTTAATAAGGAGCAAGTCTTCGTGTCAGTGAATTTGTGTTGTGTTTTCTTATGATGCCGTGAAAAGGGATTGATTTCAGGCAGCTAATCATTTAGGCAGCTCTCAGATCTAATCCCTCTGCTGAACTGTGGCAACAGTATCCAGGAGGAGGAAGAACTAAAGTGAATGGACTTGGGGAGAGCTGACAGCTTCTTCAACTCAGCAGAGAGGACAATTTGGTAGCCCATCTGTGTATGTGTGGGTGCTAATTAGAGCTCTTACGGCATTTTTTCTAAACAAAATTTATCTGAGTTTGAAGCATAGGGAAGAGAAGCTTGTCTTGCAAATGCTGATATTTGTTATACTTCCTTGTTCTTATTAATTAAACCCACATGATGGGAAACAGTTCTTAGTTACAATTTTAACTGTTTTATGTAAATAAAACTTCCTTGCCTGAAAATATTTGGCCTAGGATCAGAGTGAAGTCCCTCATAACCTGCATCCCTGTGGGCTGGTGCTTTCTTTTCAATGATGAAAAATATATTACACTCTCCTAAAGTCAGAGTACACCAATGCCATTTCCTTTGTAGTCTTTGCTGGTCACATGGCCCTTTTTGTTTTAAATTAATAAAATCCTAAATCTGCATTCAAGAATAACAGTTAACATAGTCTTTCAACAGAAATTCAGCTTTAAATTGCTTCCATATGGGATCTTTACTTAAAACTCTGGCAGACTGTGCCCACACTTTTGTTTTGTTTTGTTTTTACCGAGGTCCAACTTCTGGGTTTGTCGTTCCCCCAGATTTTAGAGTGGAGAGGTTTTTGCTGCCAGATATAACAAGCATGAAGGATCATTGTTTAAAGAAACAAAAACTTGAACTATCCTCCAAAAAGGAAAAAGCATGTAGGGATATTAACCCCTGTCTGCCAACTGTCCTCAAGCGACAAGCATTTGACCCAGAACATGTTGAAACTGGAGCAATAATGTTGAATTAGTGACATTCTGAAGGAATGCTGGGTGTACCTATCTTAATAAATTTACAATTCAAGGGAGTGAAGGATGCCAGCCTTTGAATTCAAAAATCACATTGGGCTTGAAAGCAGTTCTTCTGATCTCATTTCTTTGTCACTTGCCTATGTAAAATAATTAGCATGACAGACTTGCAGATTTGTCTGCAGCAACTTGTTTATTTTGTACCTTGCTCCAGGAGTGTGGTGTAGAGAAATGAAGTTTAGGGTTTGGCGTTTAACAGACCCTATTGTGAACCAGCATCTTATCAAAGAGATTGCAACATAATGGAAGCGTGATTAGCTGAGCTGGGACTTTACTCATTTCTGACGCTGGCAGATGTTTGATCTCTGGTAAACCTCATAACATTTGAATTCAGGTCAAAACGGCAAAAGGTTGTGCTAATTCACTAACAGTGTTCTGGGCCATCAGTAGCCTGAGTGTGGCCTTTGTGGCAACCTCTGTCAGTGAGACTTGCATTCTAGGGAGAAAATGCTTGGGGTCCTACCCAGAATAACTGTGTTTTTTTCATTCCTGGGATTGTCTGGCCAAATCTCCCATGCCACGTTGTTTATGGTACAGAACTGGAATCACTAGTTGTATAGGGACAAGGCAAATTAACCAAATGTAAATTTAACAAATGCATCTATAGAACTTGTTAGCTTGCTATTGCAGTTTGCCTTTTGCTTATCTTGCAATTTAAAAATACAGTAGATCAGAGGGGGTATGCTAACACGTATGTTGTTTTCATACTGAATGATGAATGAGTCAAACCTCCATCTACATTTTTTTCTGCTTCAGCTTCATTACCTCCAGGAAGGGAGGAATATTATTCTTTTTTTTGCTGTTTATGAATAGTAATGGGGTTTGCTGGATGTTATGATCCTTTTTTGGAAGGGGAGTAGTCAGGTGGGTGCATAGGCACTCTCAGTTAAGTGACCAGTGCTGTTGACTTTGTCTCAAAACTTCTGAATGCTAAAATCAAAAAGAAATCTTATGCACTTCTGAGGGTACTGGCTTCTAGCACAGTAAAATCTGAAGTGAAATGGCTGTCAGAGTAGTCTGCAGACATGCAAACAGGAGGATGTGTCGATGACTTACTTGTATCTGTCTCCTCTGCTGATCTACTGTGGTCTCTTTGTCAGGCTTTAAAAGAAATCAATGAAGTTGGGGACCTTTTGCAACTGAAATATTCCCGTCGCCGTTTGGTACCTCTCTTGGACCGGCCGTTTGACGAGACAACGTATGAAGAAACAGAAGACTGAAGTCCCTCCATGTGCCTCGGTGGGAGGGACACAGCCCATGGGACACTCCGTGGCACACAGGCCACAGCATCCGTGAACAACACACTTCTGACCGCTTAGCATAAAAGACATTTCCTCACAATACTGAAGTGGCCACATCAGCTCTAAATGGCATTTTGTAAATAGGGAGAGGATTTAAAAAAAAAAGCTTTGATTCCTGTGTCTTCAGGGTCTGGCCCTAGAGGTGCTTGGCTTTATTTTTTCTTGTTGCTTTTTTTTATTTATTTGTCTCAGTGAATTCACAGCGACTCAAGTTGGCTGTGGCTGATCAGTTCAGACTTTGTATGCACCATTAGCCTCCCAAATGCTGGCTGAGATGTTGTAAGCATGTGTGATGCTGGCATGGCAGCATTTCCAGTGTCACTGCTAGGTGTCTGATCTTCCCAGGAAGGAATGAGCTGACCTGTCTGTTCTTGGAGACTTCCTAGAGAAACTGTTGATTGCTAACTTGGACATATTTAACAAGACGAATAATCAACCAAAGTTGGTTTTTTTTTTCATTTGCAGTTACTTCTGTTTAAAACTTGAATTTAGCCTTTTTAAAATAAATGTGTTGTTGACATGTCACTGACAGGACCATTGTTCCCAAACATTATTTAGTTTTGTAAGCCACAGGCAGAAGGACTTCTGGAACTCTAGGCTCTTTTTCTTCCCAGTATGGATACCAGATTGCCTCCTGGTTTTGACACTAATTGTCCCCTTGATATGGGGTAAGTGATGGAGAGGGGTTTTGTTTGGGTTGTTTTGGGTTTTTTTAATAGGTTGTGTTTTGTCTTCTGACATACTTCTGTTTAAAAAAAGGAAAAATGTGGATTTAGTGTGTGTTGCTTTCTCATCTTCAGGTTAATTTCTCTTGCTTTATAATTATTTTAAAATCGTGAACAAGTCACTGCTAAATTCTAGAAGGGTGCTCTGGGTTTAGGTACACCAGAGCAATCCTCAGGCTTCTTCTTAAGACTAAAACTCGTCAATAAGCAGGTCTATACAATGAGTGACTATCAGGAGAACCACTTATTTCATGCAGATCTGTGAAACTGTGATCTGTTTCTTGTTGTATATGAGGTGTTCTTCACTGGCCTTGTTGCTCATATGGACAGCTTGGATCTTGTTATTACACTTCAGCCAGCCAGCCAGCAAAGTCTCTGCTGGCAGCTGCATGTCTGTGTAGGCCTTCCCTGAAGAGAGAATGTCCTTGTAATTGCATTTAGTTGGATATCTTTATTCTTTTGTGTTTCTGTTATTGATCAACATTGATTAAGTCAGTGTTCACTGAGCCAGTTGCTGTTTGGAATTTTTATTTGCACGTTTCATACTGTCCCTATGTTTAAAATAGACACCTTTGCTCTAACACACCTTAGAGGAGGTCTGCTGCTTAGTTTTTGCATCTTGAATTCTTTCAGTGAACAGAATGGATCAACAAAGAGGTACCAAAAATTTTAAACAGGAGTCAGTTGCAGTATAGCTTGTTTCTGTATTTTATACACAGACATGTAGGATTCCTGCAAAGATAGTAAAACATTAACGTTGTGTCAGTTGGATTGGGCCAGCTCTTCAGTCTGGGTGAGCAAAATGATTTTTGCAGGTGACCAGGGTTTTCTGAAACAGATTCTTCATCGTAAAGCTCTTTGCATAGTGCTGCAAAAAAAAAAAAAAAAATTTAGTTTTTTTAAAGTTCTTTTATGTTCCCTCTGCAACTAACAGGAAAGGAGTGCTTTGACCACAAGAACCAAGCAGTTCTGCAAATACATCTCGTGATTTAAAGAAGAATTGGCTTCTATTTATAGAATATCTATCTTCATGGATCTATAGATCCTGTTCCATTTTAATGTAGTGGAACTTCAAAACACTGATTCATTTTTTTACCATTGAATTTCAGAAATTTAATTATATGAGAAGAACTGAAATTGACAGTTTGAAAATAGGTCCAGATAACTATTTCTGCCTTCGTCCATTAATGTTGATTTGCTCTTCTTCTGGAGCCAAGTGTGTGCACAGTCTGAGAAGTCTGTATGTGCAACTTTGGTAACTATGAAGTAGCCTCATTTGTTCAGCCACAGAGTGAATAAACTGCAGTTAGCTGAGCTTACTTTCTCACCTGCGCTCTGCCCAGGACTAGCGCTAACATTCCAGCAGATCACCTGCTTTCTGACTTCAAGAAGCTTTACCTCAAAGAATTATTGCCTTTTTTTTTTTTTTCTCTTTTGGACTGTAGTAGGGAACAAGGAGGTTAGCACGGGAAGCCCTGACTTCAGCCCTGATCCTATTAACTGGATCATGGAATGGTTTAAGAGCAGACAAAACTGACCACCTTGAAGCTTGGGTCAATAGGTAGCTGTTTTGAGCATTCACAAATGTACAGTGTGTTTGCTGTGTAGTCAAGTCAATTTGAAAACTGTGATATATCAAGTTAGAAGTGGGTTATCATAGATTCTACAAGTCTTGAGTTCTAATCTTGTCTCTGGGATTCAGTTTTAGAACAGCTTGTCTTTAGAAGGGAGAAAAGCATCTGGACAAATCTTATTAATGTAGACCACTGTGTAATACTTCTGAAACTGCCAGTGTTTAAAAATTACTGGTGTCCATTTGGATTCCAGTTGTACTTTTTGAGGACATTGTGTTCAAGCTTCTGCCTTTTAGTATCTTTCTCCTGTGTCATGCTGTCTGCATATGATTTTGAATTTTGCGTTGCAGAGACATTTCAGAAATCATTCAGGCAGTTAGCATTTGCAAACTGCTTGGTTACATTTCATCCTTGCTGTGTCCTTTTTGGGAAGCAACTCCTCCCTGGAGGCCTTTTATTCAAGGGAACCTGTTTTGCCAAAAGTTGGTACCTATTGAAACTGCCTCTGAAAAAGTAAGAAATTACAAGTCCAAGATTTTGCACATTTAAGTCAGTAATTCACTGAGCATGAAAGCCAGGAAAATCTTTCTGCATCTACTAAACAAACTCCTCTCCCACAATGGAAGAAGCAGACCAGTACTGGTTTGTGCTAGGCAAACCTACAGCATGTATGCTGTCACTGTATGTATAAGATGGATTGCTGCTTTGATACTTGTACTGTACTGACCAGAAATCTGTCTCCTTTTTCTCCTGGCAGTAGAAGTGAATGAAAGAACCAATCTTGAGGGATCACAAAGGATGAAAAGCTGCTTAAGAAATAAGACTTCAGTCCCTGCCAACTTTTCAGAGACATTCTAATTGAAAATGACTCCGGGTATTTCTTAAGAGATGCAAAATTCAAAAGAAAATGAAGGCTGCTTTTGAACAAAGAATTTTGCCCTGTACCGTATATTGGCTAAACTTACTGATAAATATACAATAGTTACCTTCCCAGTACCTCTCTGAAGAACTTAGCAAGCAAGTTTTTGCCTCTGGTGAACCATAACTGTTTTCAAGGCTAATGGCCATATTTTTTCACTCCTGAGAAAATTGAGAAGCTCCTATTACTGTGCATCAGCAAAGAGTGAGAGATGTGCTTCTTGTTAGAAACTGGCCTTCCCAAGTAGACCTTTGTCTTAAGGAACCTGATTCATAGTTTTTCTTTAGTTGTTCGGCAAAGAAGAAACGCAAGTTTTTTGTGTCAAAATAATCAGGGCTTTCTTTTTTGTTTTTTACATGACACAAACTTTTGTATAATGTATGTATGTATGTGGTATATTTAACTCTTTAGTTTCTATATGTTTTCCCTTCTAAGGAGCATCCTTAGTGAGCTGTTCTGGTTCTTGAGTTACTGGTGTGGCATGCTTATGCTTTAGGCAGACTCAGGAGTGAGTTGACCAAACATCTTCCTGTGTTGAAGTCATTCAGCGAAGGGATTGCATCCCCCATCCTACTCTTGCTGTTTCCCCCAAGAGTGCAGAAGTGGTACCCACTGTCAGAGCTGCACATGTACACAGAGCAGGCAAGGGAAGTGTGCCCATAAAATCAGTGACTGTCTGCTGTGTGGATGAAGGACCAATATGGCAGAGGTGGAAAAAAGGGGTAGTCAGTCATCACTTACTCTCAGCTATACATGGATCTTTCAGGTGTACTTGAACAAGTATGCCTAAAACAGGAATGCAGCTTTCAGTGCCTAAAGGGACACTCCTCTAAAATTTCTCCACACCAAGTAAATCCTTCCTCTCCTTCTGTACAAATTTTAATTTCTTTACATCTGAAAAGCATTTGGCTTACAGCTGTTAGCTTGTTCAGAAGCCGTGTTATCCGTTCAGGGTGGTCATAGGAGAGGCTGGAGGAAAGCATGAGCATGACTTCCTCTAAGAGAACACTTTGCAGCATTGGATCTGGAGCACAATGCTTGAGTCCCCTTGCTGCATTACAGAGAAGGAAACTTGTGGAGATGTATCCCAATATACAGTGCTCAGTCAGAATTTATACAGTTTATATATATTATTTTTACAGTTTATATGCAGCCTTTGAAAGTGTCAGGCATGGTCTGTGTGGGTGTCACCTTCTGCATGGGGATCTGAGGTACCTGCAGTCTGTTCTGTTTTAGCACTAGTGAAATACTGAGCTGTTTGGGAATGCTCAGTGATCTCTCAGCGGGCGCATAGCTGGCTTTGGTGCTGAATCTGGCACCCAAGTGGCATTGGACCACTGTTTGGGAAAAGCACCAGTCATTTGACCCATGTAACTTGAACATGGTTTTAAAAGAAACAAAAAGAAAAAAACCAACTCATATGCCATTGTGATGGCTTTGTATTCCTGTAAACATCCCCAGCCTTGCAGTTGTCCACCTGTTCAAGGATTTGGACTTGAAGCTAGAGCACAAACATGAAGTGTTTGTGGGAAGTATTCTGCTTTATATTTCACTAAAAAGAGATGCATTTGGTGCAGACATTGGAGCTGTTGTGTTTATATCCCCAAAAGGGGCCGGGTGAAGGAGATGTCAACTGTGGTGTGTGTTGAAGGCCTTAAGCTGTGACTCTTGGTATGAAGAACTGAAATTAAAACTGACCTTGAAGAATGCAGTAAATTTTAACCCATGGAAGAATACTCTGTGCTCTTAGTTAAAGCAGTATGTACTGCTGTTTTCTTGGGAGGGAGAGGTTCAGAACTCAGTTTGTTGTGTGACCCTGGCTAGAAGCTGTTTAAGGAGATGTCTGTATGTGGGAGCCAAAAGTAGTGCAGTTCTCTGCACCAGTGTTCCTATGTAGCTTATATAGTTCCTGCGTAGTTCCATTGGTAACTTGTTCCTGGGCTGCTGAAAGCGGGAGACTTACTGAGAGGGTCAGGGACTTCAGAAGCAGTGGCAGCTAGCAAATTAATTTCCTCAACAGAAGGTAAACAGGTCTCACATGAATATGCCAAGGGTTGGTGCTGTTCCAAAAATACCCATGGCGAGGTGAAACATGCACCAAAGCATCTGACCTCTGGAAAGCATTTCATTTTTTTTGCCAAAACTCATCCTGTTCAGACAGTATTTCTGATACCCCTTAATGGTATATTAAGCCTAATACATCTCCAGCCTCTCAATATTGTTAATTTCAGATCCATTTGAGAGAGGACAGAGGAATGCTGGAGCCTGAGGCTTTAGGTTAGCAGCCCTAAAGCCAATGGTGGCCCACATTTCCACAAGCCCTGGGCAGAATTACCAAGTCACAGCACTTCGTCTTAAATTGCACTGTATTCTTATGCCTCTGTGTTGCTATAATGTACATATATATTGGATTTTTTTGTAGATAAGACATTTTAGATAAAATTTTTAAATGGGCTCCCCCCCAGATATTTTATGCCAGATGTCTAATTTTTTTTACACTTGTGATTAACATGAATTTGGATGCTCTGTGGGCAGAGAAAAAGATAAATGGATGGTGCATTGGCTTTAGAAAGGTAACAATGCATGTTTAAAAAAAACACTGGAGAAAAAACTGCTTGGGAAAAAAATTCATTCAAATATATTCTATGTTCTGCATAATAAAGACTTTAAAAAAATGCTATACTGTGGGTTTTGCCTTTTTTTCTTAATGCTAATGAGGCTTTTTCCCTATTAGGGAGACCAAACCCTTTTCCTCTTCCTTTTCCAATCCCTCTCCCACCCACCCCCAAAAAAACCTCAAAAAAACCTAACACACAAGTTTCATACTGTAATGACTGTGTAAAACCATAGCCTGTTTGTTTGCTCAGATTAGTGTTCCCCTCTAGCCGTGTACTCCAGAGCTAGGAAACCTTGCATGCGAGATGGATACTTAGCTGTTTTCTGGCAGTCTCGGGTCCCTTGTACAGCAGTAGCCTTGATGTGCAATCTAGAAAAGCTGCTTCTGTTGCAGAGAGACGTCTGCAGTGGCAGCTGCTGTTCCTGACGCGCAGCACTCCCGCGAGTGAGCGCCCGCCAGAGCTCACTGCTTGCCACCGAAAGCTGGTTGCCAGGCTGCTACCCTTGGGTGCTGTTACAGTGTCAGGCTGCTCTCAGCTGTCATGCTGCTAATGAGATGTTTGAAAGGGCTTCTTGATCCATCTCGCATGGGATTCTTGACCTCACATCTGTCTTGCAATCTGTGTCTTGTTTTAAACATTTCCTTCCATTCGTCTCGGCCCTAAGTCTGCATAAACCAGATGTCGGTATTTGAAAAGGAGGTGCAGGTCCTGATTTTAACTGTGGCTACACAAATGGGCCCAGGTGATTTGCAACTTTGTGCTAAGGCTGCTGTAGAAATGTCTTTTCTGTTCGAGGTGTCCCTTTCTGGGACACTGCCAGCACTAGCACTTTTCCTCAGCAGGCTGCAAAACCTCCTTTCAGCGTCTTTCTCTACTAAGTTTTTCCTAATCCTTTCCCTAGTAATTTCCTTCACAGGCTCATGAACGCCTGTGGAGATCCTGGAATAGATACTCTAGACCCAAAGTAAACAGCCACTCCATGTTTCCAACAGGTTTTGAGCGTTAGATAAGATGCTGCCAGCGTAGAAGAGAGCAGATCAAGGAATAAAAACTTATTTTGAATGGTGGAAACTTCATCCCGCAGCTCGGGAACAGCCGGAGCTTTCACTGGGGAGCACAGAGCGCCGTTTCTGCCGGTCGCGGGCCGGGCCAGGAGCCGGGGGGGGCTCGTCCCCGCTCTCCCGCGGAGCGGCCCCGGCGCTCGGAGAAGAGGAGGCGGCGGCCTTTGCAAGCTCTTCTCCGCGGGGGCGCGGCGGGAGGCTCCGAGCCCCTGATGCGCTGAGCCCCCCGCCCGGCCGCGGCCCCGCTCCTGCCCCTCCGTGCCGGGCGCCTCCATCCTCCCGCCTGGCGCGGCCGGGCCGGAGCCGGCGGGCCCCGCGGCCGCCCAGCCCCGCCCCGCCGGGAGAGCGCTGCGGCGGGGCTGCCCCGGCGGGAAGCGCCCGGTGGTGCCGCGGGGCTTGAGCGAGGCCGGCGCCGCCGAGGCGCGGAACAAAGAGCCCCGGGCCGGGCCGGCCCCGCCGCAGGGGCAGCGCCCCGCGGGCACCGCCGGGCGGAGGGGGCGGCGGCCGCCCGGGCCATGCAGCTGCCGGGAGGGGAGGAGCGGAGCGGGCGGCGGCGCCCCGGAGGGGGCAGCGCCCGGAGGGAGAGGGGGGAGGTCTGGCAGTGCCGGCAGCCTCCGAGCAGGGCAGGGGCGCGTCGGGGCCGTGCCCGGGACCGGCAGCGGCGGCTATCGCCCAGGCGGGGCTGGACCGCGCTTCGTGCGAGCAGGAGCCTCTCCCCGGCGAGCGGCCTCCCGCCCGCCCTCCGGTGCCCAGCGTTGCCTGCAGAGCTGCGGCAGCACCGGCGAGTGACTCGGCGGGGGGAGGAGAAGAGGAGGAAAAGAAATCGGATTGCCGAAAGGATTAGGAAGCGGAGTGGGGAGGCGAAGCTCTCTCCTCCCGTCCCTCCCCGCACACACTTGTGAAGCTATTCAGAGTTATCCTTCAGCATCAGTGGCGAGCGAGCCCGGGGGAGCCGCGACCGCGAAAGGTGCTCGGCAAACTGCAAGAGCGATCAGAGGGAGCGGAGCGGCCCGGGACGCCCGACCCGGCCCCTGTCCCTGCCCGCGAAGCACCGCACTTCCCGGCTCCGGTGTTTTATATATTACTCTTTTTTTAAGATTTCCCTGCTCCTCTCGCTTTCTCGGAGAAGGACAGGATTTGGAGCATTGCGGGCGGGCGTGCTGCCGGACCGCCTGCCCTGAACGTGCGGGGAAAGAGGGAGGGAGAGATGCCTCTGATTAGAGGGAAAGTCGTGCTCATCCTCAGCTTCGTCTTCTTGACAACTTTCGCGGCTGTGGTGAGAGGACTACCCGTGAGGAAACAACGCAGCAACAGTCCGAAGGAGAGAAGCTCCAAGCTGGCGGAGGTAAGGCAGCCTTTGGGGAAGTATGGAGAGCCGGGCGGGTGCTGAGGGGACTCCTTCCGCAGGCTCTGCAGCCCCTCACGTGCCGGGAAGGCTGTGGAGGCAGCGGGCCACCTGAGTGGTCACCGGGGCTCCCTCGGAGGCGCTTGTGCGTCTCGGACGGGAGCAGCATCCAACACGTGTCCCGCGGCCCGGCCGCCCGCAGCTCCCGGGAGAGAAGCAACAGCGGGGAGGAGTGTTCGGGCCCCCCCTCATACGGGCCGTTTCTTCACCCGTTGAGGGGCAGAGCGGTTTCCCGGCCTGCGGGATTTTGGGGCAGCCTCAGGTCTTCGCAGTGCACAGAGGCTGAAGGGAAGGGGCTCCTTTAGGCTTTCTGAGATCGGGGCCCAGTGTCGTGACCCGGTGCCCGGGAATATCCGTTGCCTCCAGCACCCAACATCCCAGGTGGGAGAGAGGGGTTAAATTAACGGGGTTGGTGCCTTGCCAGGAACGCCGAATCTCCCCTACCACAAACATAAGACATGACGGATTTTAGCCACCATCTCTCCGCGCCGAGACGCCCCTGGGGCAGGTTCCGGAGCGGCCATGCTCCCTTCTAATCCCGGCAGCCTGCGCCCCCGCAGTGTCCCCCGGGGCAGGCGGCCTGGGGAGCCTCCCGGCCGGGAGGGAGATGTCCCGGGGCTGCGCCTTGCGCTCCTCGCAGTGCCGGATCTGGCCAGCGCTGGCTGCCGAGCGCGGACTGTGCAAGGGAAAACTTCAACAGGCAGCGAGAGACCGGTCAGACTGGGAGACAGCTGATGGGATCTGATGGGATTTACAGGAGGGAAATAGGAAAGAAACAAAAGGAAAGCAGGGAGAAGGGTTTGAATAAGAAAGATAATTGGATGGTTGAAACAAGCTGTTTCCATCTTGAAACTGTTCTCAGGAGAAAAAATGGTTCGGGCAGCACAAGTGTGTTTAAAAAGTACTCTTTCAAAGAATGCTACTGCTAAAAGTAGGTGAAGGGAATAATTGAGAAAAGTGACGATAGGAGGAGGTTGAGCAGGACAGGTAAGAGCAGCTCAGCCCTCACTGGCGATAGGCAGCAGTATGGGAAGCAGCAGATTTGATCTGCAACGTCAGTCAGACTGGCAGAGGAGGTGTGAAGTGGTGGGAATATACCTTGTTCCTAGTTAGTGCTGAAACAGGACGTTGATCTGTGGAGGAGTTGCGCTGGCAGCTCCCGTGAGATGCACTAAACTCCATTCCAGCATGAAATCCAAGGAACAAGTGCGAGGAGCGAATCTGCCGCGTGGAAAGCCTGGCCAGTAGACAAGAGATAGCACGGCCTGCGTCAAGCCAGGTACCGCTAGTCAAGTCTGGTAATGGTTTTGAGTGGAGCATGAACTGAGCAGATCCAAAGAGGACTGCTGGGGATGTTCTGTGCTGTGCTTTGCTAGTGAAACTTTGAGCATAGACGGAGATGGTGCTTTAGTTGCCGGAGAAATGCCAGGCAGAGTGACCTTGGGCTCTGGCTGCAGAAGGAGTAGCGATTTACACTTGAAATCCAGGAAAGTATTGCAGCCCTGTGGCAGGGGGCAAGGATAGGGACAATCTGTATGTTAGGAAGTTATGCATGTGCCTACCACGAGACCCTGCAGTGCAGCCTTCAGGCTCCTTTTTATCTGACATCTAAAATACATGGGAGAGGGGAGCGAGCTGCTGTCAGTCCCGGTTTGTGAATGGCTGTGAATGGGGAGCGTTGTGCGGCCAGCCAAAGATCACACACGGCACTTACACAGCGCAGCCTCTGTCCCCAGGACCTTTGCTTCTTGCAGAAGTACAAACACACAAGAAGTTTATAGGCAAAGGTTTGAGGGTGGAGGTTAGAAGCAAGGAGGAAGTTGAAAAATTAATTCCTCTGGGAGCCTGTTGGTGCTCCCGTGCACGCCCTGCATCCCTCAGAGTACTGGCTGCACAGTTCTCACGGCAGGGAGAAAGCAGCCGAAGACACATGTCTCTTCTAGCTGTGTTTTGGGATGAAATCCTCTGTTTCTAGTGCATGTCGGGGAGAATTTAGAGTAGTCATGCACAGCTGTTTGAACTAAAGCAGAGAGCACAGGCACAGCAGTATGGTGGTTAAAAAAAAATCCAGAGTGATTTTGGGTCATACACACAGATGGTTCCTGTTGCAGCACTGATACGTCCTGTCTCTATGGCAGCAGGGTAGCCACAGCTGGAGTATTGGTTACACTATGGGTAATGCCCTACAGATGTGGGTAGAATGAAGGGGGCTGTGAGGAGAAAAATAGAAATGACAGAGAAGAGCAGATAGACAATCAAAACCATTAAACGGTTATATAACTTGGACTTATTTTAACAACTTCGTTTAAAGCAAACCTTTTTCCTTGGTTTAGGATTGAATGGAAATTGTTATAATCTGTCCTGAGCCTCAGAGTTGCACTTCTATACTAATATAATTTAGAAAAATCAAACCAAGTTTTTCAGTAAATTTTTGAGTTAGAAGGTATTCTAATTGCAGGAAGGATGGCGGGAACACATGCTTTATTTTTGGGTGATAACCTTATTAGTATGTCCCAAAGTCCTGTGCCTCAGTCAAGATCCATTACCAAAGGAGCAGGAAAATTTACATGTTCTCAGCTGTGACACTGGGCAAAAAAGCTTTGCTTGAGTTACACTGTTCTCAGCATAAACAACAGCTATAGTGAGAATATTTGCTGTTGCTTCAGTCTGTTTGACTGAAAGTTGAAAAGGCAGAATGAAGAAGTTGAAAGGCAGTTTTCTTTCCAAACTGTGACTTAAATCTAATGAGAGAAGATATGTGCTCATTTGGAGGCTTTTTGGTGATATTTGGGAAGGCAAGTGGGCTCTGAAGCAGCAAGCAGGTGTACAGCAGGGTTTTTAGAAGTGCTCATACTTTTATGTGGGCAGAAATGTGGCAGGACAGAGCACTGACCAGCAAGTGGCTCTTCAGATTTGGGTAACTGAATAGTTCGAAAAACTTGTGTCCCTTTTGGAGACAAGGTACAGCTCATCACGTCACTTGATTGTTTATTTATTTATGAAGTCAGGAGTTTTAAATGCAGAATATGTTTTGTTAAACTTACTGGATTTCAAAATATTGTCTTTGAACATTGTTAATAGACGTTTGAATTATTTCCAACTGATACCGGTTGATTCTGGTGCTGTTCTGGTAAATAGAAAACAGCTAGAGTCCTAACATGCTAGAAATGTAAATGTTAGAAGTGATTAGGTCTGTGTGAACCTACACCACAGCTGTGCATAGAAATAAAAGTGCCGGTGGGAACGGTGATAGGGGTGTTGGGAGTGAGGTCTGTGGCAGGGCAAGCCAACAATGTTTCATGGAGGGTCCAGGCTCTCAGTCGAGCTCTGGTGGGCTTGATGTGTGCTCTTTGGTAGGAGGGAACTGCTCTGAGAGAGGGGTCCAAGAGCAACATCAGCAAGCTCTCCAAGGCACCTGGGGTGTTACTGCTGGGCTGGGACAGGGGCAGGAGGCAAATCCAGGCTGGAGCTTGCTGTTGGAGTTCCCGTAGTCTGAGGCTGTGAGCAAAGCAAATACGGCATCTGCGATAAGACATAACGGAAGGCAACAAAAGAAATACCAAGCACAGCATAAAGGCTGAATTGGCTGCAAATCAGTGGTTTTGTGCAGCACCTGATATGATGGCTTCAGGCCCCTGAGAAATAAGGAAACAAGTGACAATGGTTACCTATTATTTACTGGTTAAATCAAGCAGTAAGAGTAGTGATGGCAAACTACATATAAAAATGAAGGTCTACACCTGATTAAAAATAATTGGTAGCAGTCTTGATTTAAATTGACCTGTCTTGTGCATAAGGGCATGTGAGTGCTGAGGAGTGCTTAAGAATTAAATGTACAGAAGTCACACGATGCCTGGCTGGAGATACCAGCAAACGGAGAGTGAAGGAGTTTCAAGGTGACATGGCATGGCTGTACTAGATAAAACAGTGTTAAAGGGAAAGAAATATCATCTAGGCTTGAGTGGAGCTTGCCAGGAGACTGTAAGCAGAAGTAGCCCTGTCATTTGGGAGCCGTAACACAGCCTAGACACGTTAGTCTGGGGACACCACTGCAGTGATGGGTTGCATGGGCACAGAGGTCTGGGGGAGCCTGCCCTGTGCCTCCCCCCAGCTCTTGCTCCTTCTTGACTCTTCTAGGGCTGTCTGGCCAAGAAGAGGATGTCACTTTCCCAGAGCCATCTCTCCCTGCTGAGGACCTCCAGCTTGTGTTGTCACCCAGGTCTGCCCTGTGTGGAGCATCTTGTCGTGCTGCCGCCTCATCAGGAAGGCCCAGCTGGGGTACGAGTGGGCGACCGGGTCGGTGCTGGCTGCCTGCACAGCCAGATCCCCGCCGCCACTGCGGGCTGTGTCAGTAGCAGAGTCATTTTGCCTGCGGATGTGCTTTTTACCTTTTCATTTCTTCAGCAATTAAGCGTTCTTGTCCCTGGCTTTGTCCTTGGCGGAGGTCGGATTTGTGGGTACAAAACGTTCATTGAAGCATCCTTCCGCTCTGAAAGGGGCTCTTTGTGTGCAGGGAGGTACTTCTCCCTTTGTAGCAAATTTCCTTTTGAGAAGTGCCAAATTATCTTAGTCAACACAGTTGAAAACCCTCCCGCCCTGGGGCTGAGACAGCAGCAGAAACAAAGGGGAGCCGGGTGTAGGGAAGCTGCCCAACAAGGGGGCTTCTTCCCTTTTCACTGCACAAATAGGTCTGCTGCATTCCCATTGTTACAATCAAAGGGGTTCCTGTAAAAGGCACATGTAAGGGGAAGAGATGAGGCATAAATCCCTCCACAGGGCACTGCCCGGCACTCTCTCCGGGTTCACAAAAGTGTCCTCCAGCACATGCAGACCTTCTCTTCATCCTGCTTCCAACCATGATCCCTCCAAGCCTGGTGGGATGATGGAGGGAGTGTGCTAGAGTTAATTCCTGCTTTCATCTTGTCAGTGTCCTATGGGTA